TTAAGGGCTGGATCACACTGGATGCGACTTGGCGTGCGATTTGAAAATCGCATGCCAAGTCGCACCCTATTGTCCGCTATCAGAGCGGTCGTATCAGTGTGGTTCCTACTTGGTCGGAGCCGCATCGATTTCAAAAGTAGTTGCGATTTGCATAGACATCCGTGTCAGATGTCTTGCAAATCGCAAGGAAATCGGCATCTCACCCGATTTTGAAATCGTGCGACTGCACTGTAAGTTCAAAAATGGATTTGATGTGAATGGAGCCGGAGGTATCGCATTATATGTGGCAATTAACCAGAGCGGTCTGCATGTAACATACACTTTCCCTTGCAACACCCATTCTTTCAGACTGACCCCACCCATCAAAGCAATTATTTGCATAACTCTTCCCAAGCCAGCCCACTGCTTGTATCGGGGCTGGGGGTTCTTGAGCGGAGGACTAAGGCAGGATGCGGTGATGGGGGGGGTGGGGGGGGGAATGTCTGTGCGTCTTATGGAGCAACTGGCCCGATATTCCCGCCACCATCATGTTAGAATACCAGGCTGGCCGCTCAGCTCTACTGTGCAGAAGAACCTGCTCCTCCATCCTACCTGTTCCTAAGTCCAGCGGTGTCCTGCATCCATTGGCCATCCCCTCTCCCTCGCACAGTCATCTTCAGTGTGGGCACCCGGCTGTGACAGCTTGCGGCTTCAGAGTCGGGTACCCACTGCGCATAGTCTTGGGGGCCCCGTAGTCTTGTGGGACCAGACACGTGTCCCAGAAGACTACAGGGAGGGAGAGGGGTGGGAGGACAACTTCACAGAAGTGGGAGCGGGTACCTGTCAAATTCAGATACCCGACCCCTCCTCAAAGGTTCGCAGCCTCGGGTCATCTCCTGTGCCGTGTCCGCAGCCTCGGGTCATCTCCTGTGCCGTGTCCGCAGCCTCGGGTCATCTCCTGTGCCGTGTCCGCAGCCTCGGGTCATCTCCTGTGCCGTGTCCGCAGCCTCGGGTCATCTCCTGTGCCGTGTCCGCAGCCTCGGGTCATCTCCTGTGCCGTGTCCGCAGCCTCGGGTCATCTCCTGTGCCGTGTCCGCAGCCTCGGGTCATCTCCTGTGCCGTGTCCGCAGCCTCGGGTCATCTCCTGTGCCGTGTCCGCAGCCTCGGGTCATCTCCTGTGCCGTGTCCGCAGCCTCGGGTCATCTCCTGCGCCGTGCCGCAGCCTCGTCATCTCCTGCGCCGTGTCCGCAGCCTCGGGTCATCTCCTGTGCCGTGTCCGCAGCCTCGGGTCATCTCCTGCGCCGTGTCCGCAGCCTCGGGTCATCTCCTGTGCCGTGTCCGCAGCCTCGGGTCATCTCCTGTGCCGTGTCCGCAGCCTCGGGTCATCTCCTGTGCCGTGTCCGCAGCCTCGGGTCATCTCCTGTGCCGTGTCCGCAGCCTCGGGTCATCTCCTGTGCCGTGTCCGCAGCCTCGGGTCATCTCCTGTGCCGTGTCCGCAGCCTCGGGTCATCTCCTGTGCCGTGTCCGCAGCCTCGGGTCATCTCCTGTGCCGTGTCCGCAGCCTCGGGTCATCTCCTGTGCCGTGTCCGCAGCCTCGGGTCATCTCCTGTGCCGTGTCCGCAGCCTCGGGTCATCTCCTGTGCCGTGTCCGCAGCCTCGGGTCATCTCCTGTGCCGTGTCCGCAGCCTCGGGTCATCTCCTGTGCCGTGTCCGCAGCCTCGGGTCATCTCCTGTGCTGTCCGCAGTCCATTGGTTCAGAATATTTTTTTCTGTTTTTCCTAAAATCTAGGTGCGTCTTATGGTAAGGTAAGTCTTATGGAGCGAAAAATACGGTATATTTAAAATTATTCTTGAACAGATACAACAGACTGTGATAAAGAAGAAAAATACATTTAAATCTTTATGGAGACCATATAGATTCAACTACAGATATTTAGATAAAGCTGAGCAAATCCAGGGAAGCTCAGTGGATTCATGGGCATATAAAGCGAGCTGCTCTGGCAGATGCGGAGTTCCTCGGCAGGTGAAATTGAGAACATAGCGGCTACCTTCGTTACCTCGCCTCTCTTTCTCTCAGGATTTCACTCCAACCAACACACAATGCTCGCTGTGAGACATGACATGATGTGTTTGTATACCAAAACCTATCCTCAGGCATGTTTGTACTGCACAGACAATGGTGCCTTTTCAGGATGAGGCGACTGAGAAGACCGAGACCTTTTAATCCTCTGAGCTTGGTAAAGAAGCACCTCATTGCAGATTTATGAATTTAACTAGTTCCTGGTGCAGCCAGTAAATAATGGTTACAGTCCGATATCAGATCCCACATGAATCTGCCCATATGCTCCTTATGTAAACAAAGGTTTAGCACTATGGTGAGAGCAGCACAGGTTAAATATATAGACGCAGTATAAAATTTCTCATCACTTTAACCACTTCCCAGCCGCCCTATAGCAGTTTTACTGCTATAGAGCAGCCACTCTGCACAAAATCAAGTAAATATATGTGATTTTGCATTTCCCCGGGTAGGGTAGGGGGCATGCGCACCAACCTACCCGTGCTGTCATTGGCTCCCAAAGATGTCAAACACTGGGTCCCA